CTTAGTAGTGATATAGCAAGGGAGTATGACTAGCATAGCAATCCCTTGTAGCAGATTCCCCCAGTAACATGACGACACTTCGTTTTGAGGGTCAAGCAGAACTGACTGTACTGGCACATACAGCCTCTTTTATTCCCAATCCACAAATATAGTACTGCCCACAGGGTTTTGAAATACAACCAATCAATCCGTACAATACACACAGACACTCCCACACAAAATCCTCCCCTCTGCCTGTGATATGATTACTGAACACAATGGGTAATATAATTATCACAGGCAAAGAAATACAGTTTTTACAAAATATTAATAACTTCCAAAATATACATGCCATTCACATAAAAGATACATTTTCAGAATCTGCATGCTTGAAATATACACATACTCAAAAATCAGGGCAATTGGTTCAGGGGTTAAAAAGTTAAGGGAAAGTCCTATTTGACAAAATGAAGCATGGTTTTTCTGCCCAAAACCAGTTCCACAGAGTCTTCTATCCTGGAGAGAATTGGGAAGGACAGAGGCAAAACTCCATTAGCCACATGGTAGCAAAATACAAAAAAAAAATACATAAAAATATATAACTGTGCAGCAATTGCATAAAACGGGTACATTCAACATATCCCCAGATAGCTTAGATCTGAGCGCAAATTATTACTGAATGGCACTCAGATCAAAGTCTTTCACATAGTCTTTCGTTATACGAATGGGCTCCATGGCATAGCTATCTGGGGTAACACTGCTCACATAGAGAAAGTACCAAAGGACCCGGCTTTCGGGTCTTTGCAGGGGAAAATCCAGCATTTCAACATGGGGCCATAGTTACAGGGCAGGAAGCTGGCAATCAGTCTTCTCCAATGCCTAGTGGCGAGGCTGGTTCCGCCACAGTGAAGGGTTAAGGTGAAAACAAATTCTAATTGTGTGATTCTGAATGGCTTTGTAGCGCGTTTTCCTTGTCATTTAGAGTAAAAGAAAAGCCTTAAGGCAGATTGCAGCAAGCGTGTGCGATTGAGGCAAAGGGAGGGGAGAGCAGGTTCTGTGTTGGGAGAGATCAGAGTCTCCCAGCTGGTGACAAGGTGACATGCTGCGCTCTGCTATTCCTGCTGAGCACACCTATTCCTGTCTGCTAGCTATTCCTGTCTCTGTATTTATTCTTCCTCTTAGCTCTGAATCCTATGATGTACCTCTAGCCCCATTTCTTTCGATTCCCTTTAGCATCTCTGTCAGGCTTCCCGAAATACACGCCATACCTGCTGACAACACAACATAGTGTTAACACCATCAGCTGCGCAAATCACCGACTTAACTGGTGGGGTCTTTCTGCATCCCACTTCCACCGTTTACCAGTGGAAACACATTTCATGTTATATAATAAAAGTCGGCTATAACATACGCTGTAACTACGTTTCCTCTTTTATTATTTCTGTAATTCAAGCTGGATCCATATTTCTCCAAAATAATGGGTTCTGAAACAGATGGGAGGAAAGGAACAAAATAAAAATTCAATCCATTAACATAAGCAGTCTCCCTTCTTTTCAGCAATAAATAGTGTGTGTGTGTGTGTGTGTATGTATGTATGTATATATATATATACACATATATGACAATGTAAGTATTGCATGCAGTTAATCATACCTATTAATATCTATGATGGATGAAGCAATAAGGGACACGTCAACTCATGGCTTATGAACAGTGGTACTTAATGCACTCTGAGCACCACAATTCATATACTAGCTGATCATTGTGCTTATCCTTTATATCGTCTATGGGTGATGACCCCTTGGTAACTTTTCAAATGGTTAGAGAAGCCAACAACACATATCCTATTTGCTACTGTTTGACTAACGCTAACTTTTAGAGCAGAGACAGCGGGTTATCATTCAGAGCAGGCAGGGGAGGGCTGGCTACAGTTTGCCTGAGAGGGTAACTACAAACAAATATACCAATCTGAGGGTAAACCAGCACCTTGTCACATCACATTCCATTTCTTAAATTTGTATTTAAAGGGACAGTATAGTCACCAAAACAACTAAGGCTTAATAAAGCAGTTTTTGTGTATAGATCACTGTTCAATTCACTGCCATTAAGGAGTTTAATCACTTTTGTTTCTGTTTATGCAGCCCTAGGCACAGCTCCCCTGGCTGTGACTGACACATCATGCATGAAAACAAAATTATTTCATTTTAATTCAGATGTTAACTTTTTTTATCTCCTGCTCTGTAAAGTGAATGTTATTAACGTTATTATTTACATTTATATAGCGCCAACAGATTCCATAGTGCTTTACAATATTATAAGACGGGGGATTTAGCTATAAATAGGACAATTACAAGAACTTAAAGGAACGATAGGTCGAAGAGGACCCTGTTCAAACAAGCTTACAGTCTATAATTGGTAGGGTGTGAAACACAATAGGACAGGGAATAGCAATTAAAATAGGTGGGAGTGAAGCAGAGCTAGATGAGAGAGTAGAGTTCTGCCCTTCAGGATAGAGAGCAAGAGACAGGTATGTGAGGTAAAGGTTACTCATGTAGGAGGCTCCTGCAGGGTATAGCAAGCTATTGACAGAGCATGAGATAATGAAATCTAAATTAAATTTGCAATAAAGGAAGGATAAACATTAGATTACTTTTTACAGGAAGTGTTTAGGAAGGCTGTGCAAGTAACATACAGGGAGATGTGCCTAGGGCTGTATAAACAAAGCGATTTAACTTCTAAAAGGCAGTGAATTGAGCAGTAAGACTATAGGGGCATGTTCTATACACCAAAACTGCTTCATTAAGCTAAAGTTGTTTTGGTGAATCTAGTGTCCATTTTACAAGGGACACTATAGGCTCCAAAACAACTAGTTTAATAAAACTTTTTGTGAATAGATCATTCCCCTGCAGTCTCACTGCTCAATTCTGTGCCATTTAGGAGTAAAATCACGTTGTTCATACAGCCCTAGTCACAGCTCCCTGTATGTGACTTATACAGCCTTCCTAAACACTTCCTGTAAAGACAGATCTAATATTTACACTTCCTTTATCGCAAGTTCTGTTTAATTTATAACTTCTTATCTCTTGCACTGTTAATAGATTTCTAAACCTTGCAGGGCCCTCCTGTGCATTTCAATTTACAGAGAAGGAGATAAAAACTTCTGAAGTAAGGTAACATCTGATTGAAAGTGAAACAATTTTTTTAAATTCAGGCTATGTGAGTCAGAGCCAGTGGAGATTCGGGCAGAAACTAAAGTGATTTAACTTCTAAACGGCAGAGAATTGAGCAGTGAGACTACAGGTGCCTGGTCTATATGCGAATACTGCTTCATTTTGCTAAAGTTGTTTCAGTGCCTATGGTGCCCCTTTAATTCTTCTCTTTTTTTTATCATTGCCATAAAATGTGGGACAGGAAATGCGTAAGTTTAATATAGTGAATAAATTGGCACTGTCATGAATATTGATGAATTAACATGGGAAATAAACTTGCAAGAACTTAACAGATTTAATCACTAAACTGAGAAATGTGCACAACGAACAAGAAAATGGCAAGTTCTAGACATAAATACTCAGGCTGAGATAGTTGCATTTGTAATTCCATTGCCAATTCTCCAAACCTTCCGGTTCACTTCACTTGTAAAATCAATGAGATGGAGAATCTATTTTGGGGCAAACTATGAAATTCCAGGTAACTCTTAGTTCGGGCCTGTATGAGGGTTATTCTCTGACAAGTCTCATTTTTAGTAAATAACCCAAATGTGTCTGCATCACCTGTCTCATTCTCTGTATGTCTGTACGAACCTTTGAATGCCACTGTTTTCTGTGCCGCTGTGTCATCCCAGGATGTCTGATTCTTTGTGTAACTGTCTCTCACAGTATACGTGTCACGATCTCCATTCATTAGACTCACTCTCTTTACCTGTCTATTGTTTGTCCAACTTTCCCAGGCCCCGTAACTGCCCTATATTATGTACATCTCTATACAAAGGCTGAAAAAAATATCCAAAAGGGAGTTATACATTGTTCAAGGATACTTCAAAATACCTATATCCAGGGAGAAATAGAGGGAATTGGTTACACTTTATGGCTATATTATGCTACACTCATTACTGTTTTCTATCCAAAATCCGTACTAGCCCAGTAATATCCTGTCACTGTGTTCCATTCTAATCTGAACACATGGAGGATGAACAAAAGATGAAAGAGGTACCTGTGACCCTTGTACCTGTCAGCTCTGTAACTATCTTGCTGCTTATTTAGCAGTGAGCTCTGTACCTGTCTCACTGCCTATGTACCTGTGAGCTATGCACGGTTTCACTGCCTATGTACCTGTGACCTCTGGACTGGTCTCACTGCCTATGTACCTGCGTCCTCTGGACTGGTCTCACTGCCTATGTACCTGCGTCCTCTGGACTGGTCTCACTGCCTATGTACCTGCGTCCTCTGGACTGGTCTCATTGCCTATGTACCTGCGTCCTCTGGACTGGTCTCATTGCCTATGTACCTGCGTCCTCTGGACTGGTCTCATTGCCTATGTACCTGTGTCCTCTGGACCAGTCTCATTGCCTATGTACCTGTGTCCTCTGGACCAGTCTCATTGCCTATGTACCTGTCTAATTGCCTACATACCTGTGACCTCTGTACCTGTCCAATTATCTATATACCTGTGATCTCTGTACCTGTCTCACGGCCTCTATATCTCTGACACTTCCGCCTTTCCCATGTACCGTCAACCCTTGTACCTGGGACCAATATATTTCATTGCCTATGTACCTGTTTTTTCATCCCCCCGTGAATCCTCTCCTGCAACTGTCAGAAATAACCTACTAAGTTCCCAGTGAATACTTTTCTAGTAACCTATTTCATTACCCCTACTTATACCCATTTCTGTGTAGCAGTATAATGCTGTAAATTTATGTATATATGGTGTATGTCTTCCCCATAGTCTGTATAATGCTGTATATATGGTGTATGTATTCTCCATAGTCTGTATAATGCTGTATATTTATGTATATATGGTGTATGTATTCTCCATAGTCTGTATAATGCTGTATATTTATGTATATACGGTGTATGTATTCCCCATAGTCTGTATAATGCTGTATATTTATGTATATATGGTGTATGTATTCTCCATAGTCTGTATAATGCTGTATATTTATGTATATACGGTGTATGTATTCCCCCATAGTCTGTATAATGCTGTATATTTATGTATATATGGTGTATGTATTCCCCCAGTCTGTATAATGCTGTATATTTATGTATATACGGTGTATGTATCCCCCATAGTCTATATAATGCTGTATATTTATGTATATACGGTGTATGTATTCTCCAGTCTGTATAATGCTGTATATTTATGTATATACGGTGTATGTATCCCCAGGGCCGGATTAAGAGCACAGTGGGCCTGGTGCTGACAATTATGATGGGCCTAATTATGGAATCTTATCGACCAAAAACACTAAAACAATCATACCTCCCAAGTGTCATGTATCTGATGGAGATGGTGCTGGAGGGAAACTCATAGGATGCAGCTATAAGAAAACACATATTCTATGCTAATCTTTCTCTAATTTATGCTTTCATCTTTCAAGTAAATCCATAACCCCTAACAGCAGTGTCCAGTGAAGCAGGAAGTCAATGGGCAGGGTAAAAGGGTGGGCCACTGGCGCGAATCACGTGACAAGACCTGCCAAAAGGGGTGAACATGCCCAAAAAGAGGGCATGTTTGTCCAAAGAATTGGAAGGTCAGCCTGCCATGAATGCATGTCAGGCTGCCTGCCAATCCTGCAGGCTGTCCAACTAAGGGCATACTATGCAGGCAGCACCTTGAGCTTGACATAAATGCATCTAATGATGCGCTCACTCCATTCTTTCTAAGGACTGTCCCCTAGCACTTGCTGGTCCACTTGTCTCGTTACCTTCTTACTAGCAGGCAGAAGTTCCTGGTATATAGTCTGAGACAGAGAAAAGGTGTCTGTAGTGAGTGTAGAAGAAAGGGGACATGCCACAGCGTTAGAGAGACCAATGTCTGCATTACCTAAACTAATTTTAATGTCAGCCAGTGCACACAAGTTTTGTTCCCATACATCCCTCTTAAGCTTCCAAACTTAAAGGGACACTATAGTCACCAGAACAATTACAGCTTATTGTATTTGTTCTGGCAAGTAGAATCATTCCATTCAGGCTTTTTGCAGTAAACACTGTCTTTTCAGAGAAAATAACTCCACTGGCCGCTCCTTAGATGGCTGCTAGAGGTGCTTCCTGGGGCAGTACTGCCTAGTGTGCAGCACTGCCATTCAGTGTCTCCACCCTCTGCATGCAGACACTGAACTTTCCTCATAGAGATGCATTGATTCAATTTATCTTTATGAGGAGATGCTGATTGGCCAGGGCTATGTTGGACTTGTGCTGGCTCTGCCCCTGATCTGCCTAGTTGACAGTCTCAGCCAATCCTATGGGGAAGTATTGTAATTTGCTCAGACCACCACTTCTGAGCCAGCAGCTGCAGAATTGAATACAAGTAATATTTTACTATATTTAGGGAGGCAAGAAGGGGCCAGGGTGGTGGTTTTAACATAATAGGGTCAGAAATACATGATTGTGTTCCTGACCCTATAGTGCTCCTTTAACCCCTTAAGGACCAAATTTCTGGAATAAAAGGGAATCATGACATGTCACACATGTCACGTGTCCTTAAGGGGTTAAGCATAGTCTGTATAATGCTGTATATTTATGTATATACGGTGTATGTATTCCCCCATAGTCTGTATAATGCTGTATATTTATGTATATATGGTGTATGTATTCTCCATAGTCTGTATAATGCTGTATATTTATGTATATACGATGTATGTATTCCCCATAGTCTGTATAATGCTGTATATTTATGTATATATGGTGTATGTATTCCCCATAGTCTGTATAATGCTGTATATTTATGTATATATGGTGTATGTATCCCCCATAGTCTGTATAATGCTGTATATTTATGTATATATGGTGTATGTATTCCCCCAGTCTGTATAATGCTGTATATTTATGTATATTTGGTGTATGTATTCCCCCATAGTCTGTATAATGCTGTATATTTATGTATATATGGTGTATGTATTCTCCATAGTCTGTATAATGCTGTATATTTATGTATATATGGTGTATGTATTCTCCATAGTCTGTATAATGCTGTATATTTATGTATATATGGTGTATGTATTCTCCATAGTCTGTATAATGCTGTATATTTATGTATATATGGTGTATGTATTCCCCCATAGTCTGTATAATGCTGTATATTTATGTATATATGGTGTATGTATTCTCCATAGTCTGTATAATGCTGTATATTTATGTATATATGGTGTATGTATTCTCCATAGTCTGTATAATGCTGTATATTTATGTATATATGGTGTATGTATTCTCCATAGTCTGTATAATGCTGTATATTTATGTATATATGGTGTATGTATTCTCCATAGTCTGTATAATGCTGTATATTTATGTATATATGGTGTATGTATTCTCCATAGTCTGTATAATGCTGTATATTTATGTATATATGGTGTATGTATTCCCC